GAGGGGGGGGGATGAATCCTCCCACTGTACATCGTAGCATGGCACCCAGAAACACCTCTCAGCCACGATGAGGCGGTAAACCACTGGGAGGACCGTCGACTTTACTGTGACAAAAAAACAGTGAAAATTTTCTGTTATCTAAACACGTATTGCTTTTTTTGACAAGTAATGATGATTTTTCTAAAGGAAGAGAGGTTTTGGAGTTGAGGACATCTCAGATTTATCGCTCTTTTTGTCTTTGCTTTCCCAATGATTACTGTATAGTTAGCAACTTTGTAGCTATGTTCACTGAGTGTTAGAAGTTTAGATAACCTCTGAAGCAATCGAAGAGATGAAACAAAAGAGGGACTGCATTGACTGGCACAAAATTCGTGAAGAAGAACGTCGTTTGAAGCATGATGTGATGGCTCATAATCATGTCTTTGGCGCAGTATGTCTGTGTTTGCTTTCCTTAATAGTCCGAAAGTCAAAAGTCAATAAGCATTATTTTCGAAGTTTTCAGATTTGTCCTAGAGCCGCTGGAATCATTCACCTTGGTGCTACTTCATGTTACGTCCAAGATAACGCTGACATCATAGTAATCCGAGAGTCCGTTAATCAAATTCTACGGAGGTACTGCTTAAATTTTGCATAAGCTCATATGAATTGTGTGTGTGACACGACAAAAAGTAGAATAGCTTTGAACGATGAGGTTACATATTCTGTTTATTTATTCTTCGAACTAAATCTTATCTCTATAGAGCTGCCATTGTGCTCGACCGGATGGCCAAATTCGCTGAACGTGAGAAGTCTCATGTTACTGTTGGCCGAACACACTATCAAACCGCATCATTAGTCACCATTGGAAAACGGACCGCATTATGGGCGCAAGAACTACTTATGGGTTTTAAAGAGGTAACCGTAATTATCTGTTCCCAACTACATTTCATTCTCCTTCAGTACCTTCTTACTGCTACTTGGCTTATATATTTTAGCTTGAACGTTTCCATGATACCATGAAGTTTCGCGGAATCAAAGGTGCGACTGGGACGCAAGATTCCTTCTTGACCCTCTTTGGTGGGGATGAGGAAATGGTCTGCAGAAATGTTTATTTTATTTATTATTATTTTATTACATCGCCTAATATCACGTAGTGGTGCAGTAGTCGGAGGCACCCTGCAATACACTTGGGATTGATTCCAGCGCGCCTAGTCCACCAAGCCTTCCGTCGCTCCGAGGTCGCCAAATCGGTAACAGACTTGTCTGTGAGGATAGCTGCACTGGCTCGATACATTGGCGGGCCGCCGCGGATCATTGTAAAGGCCAGATATGCATTCAATCACCTCCAAACGATGCTTAATGAAATCAAATGCATGGCGCATCCCTCGGGGATTGATCAACGCCGAGAGCTTTATTCTTTATCATTTAATATCACGTGTATTACACTGTGTGGATCCTAGCACTCTTTGCATTCTATTTGTTTCCTTACATCGACCATCTGCGGAGCTATTAGAGCTTCTTGCTTATGGTCTCGGCTAGTACTCGAAGGTTTCTTCGTCCTTGAATGTTAGAATTCGTATTGAGTTGTTTCCGTATAGATTAGAAGGAGTGAACTTGTCCTTACACAAATTTGATATCAATTTCCCGATCTCGGAAGGATGAGTGGCTTGGTGGGTTCGATGCGGATTTGGACCAGCACCTCGGTAGATTGGGCATTCTAAGTAATGAACGAGATCACTGCTACCGCGCTACCTACTCCCTGATGGTGTCTATATGTTTTTTTTGTTCCAGTTTCCATGATTTGCTGCTGTTCCAGGTCGAAAAGTTGGATGATCTTGTAACTTCTAAGGCGGGATTCAATCAGAAGTTTTTGATATCAGGACAAACATATTCCAGGCAACAGGTAGAATCTGTTCAAGATCTGACTTTAGAACTTGAGAAATCTTTTTGGACAACTACAGGATGTCCGTTTGATATTCGCGCTCGCTGCCATTGGTGCTGCAGTGAAAAAGATTTGCACCGACATAAGGGTCCTCCAAGCAATGGGTGAATTGTTGGAGCCTTTTGAAAAGGTATGTTTACTACCAGAGCCTCTGATACATAGTTTTCTTTAAGTGAACATTTTTACCAGGATCAAATTGGCTCTTCCGCAATGCCGTATAAAAAAAATCCAGTGAAGAGTGAGCGCTGTTGTTCTCTAGCAAGAAAGCTAATTCATACCCCACAGGTGAATGTGTGCGTTTATATATATGTGGGTCAGAAGAGATTCCTCAAGTTTATTTTAGGAGGCCTTGAGTATTTTGGGTGATCAAGGCTTAGAAAGAACTCTTGACGACTCAGCCGGACGTCGAATTCTTTTGCCAGATTCTCTACTCACTGCAGAAGCAATGCTCATCACGCTGCAGGTTAAACGTATTACCGTCTTAGTTCTTTTATTCTACTTACTACTTTCGTGAGCGAAAGCTCCAACAAGCGGACATGTAGCACTAGGTTATGAAATAGCGCAAAGCGCTGTTGGAAGTATATGTTTTAATATGCTTAATGCAATTGGCTTTATTTCCTATAACGCCCTTCTGAAGGACACATGTAGCGCAGCAGTCGAAAGCGCCCTGCAATACACATGGGATCGACCTCATGCCCAAGACTCACCAAAACCTCCATCTCTCCTCTCCGGGCTCGGTAAATTGGTACCAGACTTGTCTGAGAGAATAGTAGCACTGGATCTATGCATTGGTAGGACACCGCGAGTCATTGTAAAGGCTAGATCTGCATTCAGTCACCTCCAACGATGATTAATGAAGTCAAATGCATGACACATCCCTCAGGGGTTGATCAACGACGAGAGCTTTATCCTTTTATCCTTTAACGCTGTCCTAGAGCTTCAGTGCACTAGATTTCAGAATGTATTCATTTTGGTGGAAATACTTCGTTTATTGCTTTAGTATTGTAGAACGTGTTCGAAGGACTCACAGTTCAAGCAGCAAATGTTGCTCGAGTTGTACGAGAAGAACTACCGTTTTTGGGTTTGGAAAAAGCGATGATGTGGTTGACTGAGGAAGGTGTTGATAGGCAGCAGGTATCTCTTCGATGATGTTATATTTCTACAGCAACCTTCTGTTTACACTAATTATTGATTACTCTCGAGTTGTTCATTGCTCATTTCATATATTGTCTTCTCAGGGGATTGTGCTTGGCATGATCACTTTGCTAAATAGTTCAACATTTTAGCTATTAGTGTTCAGGCCCATTCAGTCATTCGTACTACAGCACTTGAAGCAAAGAAAAGACAAGCAAAAGAAGTTGTTCAAATGAGTGACCTCTTACAAGATTCGTTCTTTAATTCGGTAGGTGTTCTTTCAACAATTGATGGGAAAGGTTTACTGGGCTTAGAAAATTCTAAAAGCATTTCAACCCATTTCTTCTCTTATGAACTAACCTAGGTTCGTGATCGAGTGGTGGCGTTGGTCAATGAGCCGATTCGCTTCACAGGCCGTTGTGAATCCCAAACCGTTCGTTTCATCACAGAGGAGCTACGCCCAGCTATTGACCGATACTTCGACCCAAATGCTGCTGAAGTTCAGCTTAATGTGTAGAAGCCTCCAAAATTATGACTTCGCATTATTTCAAGTATCCGTCCATATCTGTTCGTGTGTGATTGTTAAGATCTTTCCTGTTGCACTTTCTAGCTTCACTTTGAATGCATGGCGGACTTGTATGCCTACTGTAACCGCTCTGTTTATTTGGATCACCGGTCTGCAGTACAAGTGGTACAATGAAAAATATAACTGAAACGTTGTTCACTTCCAACCTTTTCAGTTGTTGGCCTTGGTGCTGTTTCTTGAGTTTGTCTGTCTACCAGTTGTGAGAGAAAAATCGCCCCAGAAATTCAGGTGGTGTATGCTAGTGGTGTTCCATCATTGTTGAGAAGAAAGTGTTTGCATGACAGATGAAATTGGATCTAGAGAAGATTGCGACTATACGAAATGCTATTGTGAAGAGAACGTGTATAGGTGTGTGACGTCTCTTGGCATCCGATTTTTTTAAAAATGTAGAGATAGAAGGGTAAAATTTTCGGCGTAGGTCAATTCTTGAGGGATGCGCCATGCATTCGACTTCATTAAGCATCGTCGCAGGTGATTGAGTGCATATCTGGCTTTTACGACGACTCGCGGTGGTCTACTGATGTATCGAATCAGTGCTGCTATCCAATTTACCGACCCAGGAGGGATGAATGGCTTGGTGAGCCACGGACGCGGAGATCGTTCCCATTTGTGCATTGCAGGGCGCATTCGACTAATGTGCCACATGCCCTACTTTTTTAAATATAGCTTTCGAAAATCACCTTCTGATTGCAGTAGACGCCTTAGGTAACCTTGATTTGGTGTTGGTATTATGCTTTACTTGAAATTCTGGTGGTGTAGATGAGAAACAATAGTCGTTCTTCGGATTTTGAATTACTCGCTAGATCTAGTAGTTCCAAAAATCCGGTGTTACATCTGGGCAGATTCTAATAATTCAACGATCCTTTTCAACTCTCTGGGTAATTCTTGTACCCCACACTTTTTTTGTTTTTCAGGCTGTGTGAACGGATCCCTGTGGATAGCCGTCATCAGTTCTTCGTTGTTTTCATCTCTAACTCTTCAAGATGCGTCCCATTGTTTTCCCAAAAGGCTTCCACTGATAGGTTTGTTAATGTTCTTATAGGCACAACTCTTGTGAATAGTTAACCAATCTTAATATGGAAAATATTTGGGGAATACGAAGAACTAGGAAAAATTGTGGGAAGACTGTCAAAATTAGAGCATCTAGGATTCGTGAGACAATGTATTTAAAGCGTTTAGTGTTTGTTTATACTACAATGGAGAATGGCTATTTCTCACTCGCTATAGTTTGTGTTTCAGGCCTTTCGTGATGTGGGATTACCACGTAGTTCTACTGCAACAGGTGGACCAAGGCGTTCCTCTCATTTGGGATCTGGACACACTTTTGTCGTTTCCTTGCTCTTTCGATGAGTACTGGAATGGGGCAATCCGGCCAACAGGTTGGAATATTCCTGAGCAATATAACAGGTGTTGATTGGTACTCTCATTTTTCAAAATTTTAAAGCTTAGAATTGTTAGTAGTCGAGCAGTCAGTTTCAGTGGCGTTCAATAAAAATTGTGGTAATAGTATTGCTCGTAACTTTCTGTGTCCGTGAGGTCCTTTCTTAAGTTGAATGGCCTTAATATTTAAGGTATTTTCGTGTGATCCCTTGTACACATTACATTACACACTTCTCGAGTGACCGGTCGCACATGAAACGTGAGGATGGGTCTTGGTTATCTGCTCCGCCAGTATGGCCACTCATTTGCAAGGATGGTTTGAATAATATTCAGGAGTTTATTAGTATGGATCCTAATGTTCTGCCTCAGATAAGCACTGTTATGGATGAACATGGGATGGTTGAAAAGTACTTCGGATGTTGAAATCCATATCTTTGTCATATTCACAATCGTACGGTTTTTTGATTGCCAGTAACGTTCTCACAGATGGGGCATTTGGTTAGAGGGCTTGACTTGTAGAGACGATTTCTGCATTGCTCTTACGAGAGATATGTAATCCCTCCCTTTAGTGCTGCTCTACTTTCTCATTTATACGACGTACGTCATCCTGTTTTGTATCCTAGACCATCTCCGTTCGAACATTTGTCTAAAGCTTATCTGCTTTTCGTGTTTAATGTACCTATTATGTTTAAAATTTCTCATAAACAGACCCATGTATACACATTTTTTTAAGTCGCGTTTACAAGCACATCCCTTGCTGTTTTCAAAAAAAGAAAAATTTTTTTCCTTCTTCGACGATAAATTTTTTGAGCATAGTTCTAGCAGTGGTACATCATGTTCGACGTTTTGAAACCTAGTCATGTTTCTTATCAGTTGGGACTGCTTAGTTTTGGTCATTCTATAAGTATTCAGAAGAATTTATTCATGTACTGAAGCGTAAGTCAGTGGAGATTATATCGTCCTCCATTGCGTTACAAAAGAAAGGGAAAAAGTAATGTTAAGTTGAAAGGTGAAGCATTCTCGCCTTATGAAAATGATTAGTTGTAAAGTTGTAGTTTCCACTATTCAATTAAATTATACCTTGCGGCAGAATGAAAATTTTCTATTAGTTTCTGCTTTCGATAGGTGCTGTATGTGGTGTCCTAGAGTAAATGAGAAAATCAATGAACTATGATTAAGTTAGCTTTCAGCTACGATATTACTGCATTTGAACCCAAATTTGGTATTCAGCGTATAACTACGTTTGGATGCTGAAATTCCGATATTGATGGCAAAAGGTTGTTCAACTATAAACTGAGGCTTTCTAATCCGGAATTGTATAAAGCCTTCGAGTTATTCAAGAGCTTGAAAATTTTTGTGTTATGTACGTCCATTCGGCTTTAAGACGTAAGATTTTTAGTTTTAGTGTGTTGTCCTTGTCTCAGAACATGCCTACATATCGTTCAAAGCTTGGATTCTGGTTAAAGAGCGATCACGTCGTACTCAAGAATACATCTTTCCTCTCATGGTGAATAGATGACTAGCGTAACTGTGTGTAATTCCATCGCCAGCGGCCGTGATTTCGTGCGCGTTTAGAGTCTGGTAGGCCGAGACCGTCGAGCCCATCCTCCATCCTGGTTGCTACCGGACCGGTTTCGACTAGTTGCGCGATGTCCATCGCGCGAACCCGGCTCCTGAACAATCGATGAACACCGGGAAGTTCTTCGTCCGTCGGTTCATCCAATTCCTCCCAAATAGCCATTGTTTACGAATTGTCGCCCTCCAATTTCGCCCCGACAGCTATCGATCACTAGAAATCAGTTCTCTTTTATCCAACAAATTTAGCTAAACTATTAAGAAGAATCATATCTTTACTTTCAATTTGTCGATGTGAGCGATTTTGTCTGTCAGTAACGGATCCTCAAGTATTCAACAAATTCGTGCTAATACATATCTACTTTAAGATTTAGGCTGAATGATCAACTACGTGAATTTCCCTATTACAATTACCTTATTAAGACGCTTTAACTCATGTCGTCTTCAACCTCTCAATCTTTTGTGGACGAGAATAGAATTCTTGTGATATTAGATGTTGCCATACGCTTATTAGATTTCACGTGTACAATAGACCGAAAAAGCCGTTCGGTGTCCTGATCTCGGTTATCCTCGGAATTTCTTTAGTTTACTCTAGATAGGTTGTGTATAGTGTTGTTGATTCACTATTCTTTATAGATAAAGCTAGGAAGTGATCAAAACTATTTGGGCTATGTTGTCTGCTAGGAGCGCGGGTAGCGCAGTGGTCGGAGGGGCCCTGCAAAACACATGGGATCGATCCCAATGCCCAAGGTCACCAAACTCTGCATCCCTCCTGGGTTGGTAAATTGGCACGAAACTTGTCTGACAGGATAGCGGCACTGGTTCGACGCATCGTCAAGCCACCGCAAGTAGTTGTGATGGCCAGTTATGCATTCAATCACCTCCGACGATGCTTGAAGAAGTCGAATGCATGGCGCATCCCTTGGGGGATTGATCAACGCCAAGAGCTTTACCCTGTATCCTTTTATATTGTCTGCCCTGGATGTCCGTCGAACCTACACGAATGATGCAAACTGTTAGCATCACTCGGTGTTCAATACAAATATATCCCTTACTTTTGCTCCACATCGTGAAGCTAGTTGGAAACTACCAGCAACACCACGTAGTTAAAAAGCAAAACTACGCATCACCAACTACTACTGTCACCTATTCTACCTTCCGTTCATCTGCGGCCTCTTCACTCCAGTACGTATCAAGTGGATTACGAGAAGGTTGGACGAAGGACTACCATGGGACTAAGCAGGACGTCTAAAAGGGTCGAATATGGTTTATTATTTCTACATGTTCATACAAATTAGTGAATCGTGAAAGTATAAGATATCTCTTTATCTCACTTTCATAGGTTTAAGGAAAACTTTTGATTCAGTTCGGGAAATCACGGAGGCTTGGACCCAGCCAAGGTTCTTACTTAGTACTCAGAGATTCTGCACGGGCTAGTGCAGTCTTACGATCAAAATTCTGCTATTCTACTGCGACATCTCTGCATACGTAAAGAGAGTTGTCAAGGGTGTGGCAAGGCGATACAATCAAAAATTATTTAGCGCCACTGTCACATGGGGGTGGGAATCTGTGGATGGCAGCAGCGCTAAGGAGTGAGGATCTATGGCTAGCAGCGACGCTATCTTCGTTTAACTCATCACCGTTCAAACAAGAACAAGTATTAGCTAGATAGAGCGAATGGTGGATGATTTCGCCACCACTTGTCGAAGGACTGGTCTCCATTTAAGCCAAGGGCATATGATGTTTGTGAAAAACGGCTGCATTCTTAAAGCCGCATTAACACGTAGCCAAACGGACTTCTCCGAGTGCTCCAGCTCTGCGTGTCTGGGTGCATAAATCGACAATATAAGCTATTTAGCTTGCTAAATGAACAAGAGGAAACGAATGGCTTTGAGAAGTTGTACAAGTATCGAGTGCATAATGGAAGACAAGGAACATCCGGTTCTGTAGTATCAACCTACACCGGCTTCAAAAACCGATGATCTCGCATCTTAATGACAACTGATGGCCAACAGCTGTTAGCAACTTCCCAGCACGACGTCAGGTTCACAGTAGCAACACCACAGACTAAGTAACCAAACTTCTTTAAAGATGCAGTGAGCCAATAGGAGCAGTTGATCGCCTTGCCTGCCTCCATTTAAGTCACACGAGAACTAATACAAGTGGTGAAATTCGGTAAGATTAGCCTACTTCGTTGAATGCCACACATTAAAGCATCGACTCAAACCAGATGATTACGAAAAAGCCCCTATGGAAAGAAATAAAGTGAATTTCACTGAACTTTCTGTTGAAGACTTGATTTCAAGGTACGTGGCTGTTGGTCAAATGTGGAGATAGGGCGCGGGGACCTGCTTTCAAGTGGCTATGCCTCACGTCCTACGTTCTCTTTCTTAGTTATCGTGTTGCTGTGGATTACAGATCTGCGCTGGTGAGAAACCTTGCTGACCCAAATTTAGCTTGACAGATTACTCTCATGTTACCACAACGTACAGGTTTTTTTGGGTGCATGTGAGCGTCGTTAATGTATGTGTAGTAAAATTCGTTGTATATAGTGTAAATATCACGTTCATACAATGTTCTTTCGGAGGCAATTAGTAACCGAACAGAGATGGAGTTGCTTTATCCATATGAAGGCCAATCTAGCACTTCTGTTCCATTCTAAAGGACTGAGTACTCTGTTTAGTAATCCTTTCATATCAGTAAGAGTCGCTGCAGTTTTGGTAGGAACGTAATGAATTCCAGTACCAGTGGGTCACTTCTCTGCAGATGACAGTTTAGTCACATCACAATCCATTCTCTTTCCAGTATAGTCGTCGAGTAATACATCTACTTATAATCTGTTATTACCTTAGTTCGATCTCTTGCAACGTGTACGTGGATAATACTGTCTGTTATGCTACACAGTCATTAGCAACCACAAGCAAATTTATGTTTGCTTTCTTGGAATCTCTCCATGAAATCATCCTCTTTTTCTTTTTTTTTTTGTAATATCTGATCCATGGGTAGCACTGTGGTAGAGGTCCAGTTCAATAATGCGTGCAAGGCACTAGTTCGATCCAGCACTAAGCCAACCATGCCTCCTATCTTTCCGAGGTCTGGAAATTAGCACCGGACTTATCTACAGTGCTCCATCCCATCCACAAAACGTAAGAACGCGCTAGCACGGCTATCGCAGGATCAGCTTTCGGATAGGGAAATCGACTTGTCTAGCGTTCAACGACATTTCATGAAAATAACCGAAAATTTTCAAGCAGCGTCTAAAGCCACACGCAAACCTGAAGACTAAGAAAAAAATAAAGGAAGAGGGAGCGAGGGAGAGAAAGAAAGAAAGAAAGAGAGAAAGATAGAGAGTGGACCTTGTGAGATTTAAATGAACAAAAATTCTATAATATATTGTTCCCAGTCCACTTTTTACGGTGCCACTGCGAATTCAAAAATGAACAACGTCTAAACTTCTTCGATTTTAGTGGAGATCTATGAGGTTACAGATGTCATTAGGATCGTAAACAATGCATTACTTGTGTAGTGCTTGCGCTAAATGCGTTCTTTGAAGCCTCCACCTAACAAAATATAGTAATGATCCTTCTATTTGGTGTGAAAACGCAGCATTTCTCAAGCATTGGTTACCATGTTGCTTTTCTATTGCTATATTTCTTTTACTATTACTAGGGTCGCGTGTGGCGCAGTGGTCGGAGGCGCAGTGCAATAAACATGGGATCGATTCCCGCGCCCATGGTCCACCAAGCCTTCCATTACTGCGGGCTCGGCAAATTGGTACCAGACTTGTCTGGTCCGGGAGAATAGCAGCACTGGCTCGATACGTCGGCAGGCCACAGCGAGCCATTGTAAATGCCAGATATGCATTCAATCACCTCCAAACAATGGTTAATGAAGTTGAATGGATGGCACATCGTTCAGAGATTGATCAACGCCGAGAGCTTTATCCTTTATTCATCCTTTATATTTTTTACTATAGTTTCAACTGTTACATTTGTTACGTTACAGTTCACTGTTGTTTCGGCAAACGTTCACTTAGCGACTAACTTTCATTTAATTTGTTTTTTTTTTGTGTATGAAGACGTAGATGAGAGAGTGGAGCGGAATATATGGCAGGGTGAGAGGGCGTTCGGTGTGGTCGCGTGCGAACCGCGTCTTCCCCCCCACCCCGTTCCAGCTGCATCATCGTGTTCGCGTGTCGTTTCGACCCTCCATTGCGGCCAGGACTGCCACTGCTTCTGACATCCAGCCATTGATTCGTTGTCGTTGTACTCTCGTTATTCATGGAAGTTCCATGGTGCAGAGCAGTTATTCGAGTAAGACGAACACAACTCTACGGACGCAGTCGACGGCACCTGTAGTGTTAATTCGACCGTACTTGTTTACCGCCACATAGCCAGTTTAACTGCTTATAGACTAAATTCTAATTTGAAGCAGATACCCAAAATGCTAAAAGTCGAGTGTGAACTCTTACGATTTTAAGCCGAAACGTCACGCAAAACGGACTGTGAGCATGACAAGTAAAGTAGAAGTGCCGCATAGCGATGAACCTCCCATAATTGTGTTTGTCATTTCCTCCCACTCTGAGTCAACCACAACTGCTTATTTCGGTCTGCTATAGCGATTCGGCACACCTACTGGAGGAGTCATGTTGTCGAATGCGTTCAGTAGGCCAACGAATGAAAACGCTAGACTCTATTACCCGTACCGTTGTTGATGACCATGGCCCTGACGCGTAGCTGATTCGGTTGCTGATTGTCTTCTCAACTTTGGGTTTGACTATGTTGTTATTCTGCCATTTTTATCGTTTTCCATGTCAAGATTTCATGGATGAGATGCATATTGGCTTAGTGGATATGTCACTAGAAATGCTAACAATGTATAGACTTATTCAAGATACTAACTGCTTTTTTAGTTATTCCTTGTAAACTGTGGATTACTCAGTTATTGATCGGAATCGCATACATCTGTTCACAACAGAGGATTGTTATGGTTAACAGTAGTTTTCTCTACGTTTGTTTAAACATAGAAGGATATTAGCACAAGGATGCTGAGATATTTGCAAACTACGGACCGCATCTATCCGCGGTGGAGAACGAACGCTATTATCTGCTATTACTCTTTCCGGGGGCTAACGCGTTCACCACACCATACGAGTTCCTCGTCTCG